GAGCAAAGAAAATGTTAAGAAAATCTAGGGAAGAGAAAATACTTTTATGGTACTGTGCTGTATTTATCAAAAAAAAATCCTCATGTAAGTGGACCCACGCTTACCTGTATTGTTCAAGAGTCTCCTGTATTTTTTTTTTTTCACATTTTAACATTTCTGAAATCGGGATTTGTTTCTCAATCAGCTGCATCTGATAGTTAAAATTGGCGGTGCTTTTTCTTTCTTGGTGGCAGATAAAGTCATGGTTCCTCTTACAGCCTGTAGTGGCTACCTTGTCCCCGTTCCAGGATTCTGCTGCTTTGGCTCAAAGCTCAAGGGAATCTTGCAAGATGGGCAGGGGTGACAAGACCGTGGGGGGAACAAGAGGCCCTTTCCTGGAAAGTTGGTGTGAATCACGTGAGGGAAATGGACTCCTGAGTGAGCGCAGTAAGAGGCACTGGTGATGTAAAGTACCATGAATCCCTTTGTGAATGGGAACGTCCTCTTGCGTGGTAAAAATCAGCCCACCCATACCAAATTATGTACAATCTTCCTTTGATATTTTTTTCTTTTTTTTTTTTAATTCCAAAAGAGCACACAATTGCGCTGTAACCCGGACCGAAGATTACTCTTTTAAAATCAGTATTTGCCCTAAACCCAATTAAGCCAAGATATGCCCCCCTGCCTTCCTGGACAACCTGGAAGACAACCTGAGAAAGGCTCCTCTGATCAGCTCAGCTACTGTAGGAGCTGCATGATCCCAGGACATCACCACCAGACACCCACACAGTGGGATGATACACTAGAGCGGAACTAGAACCCTGGAAGGGTAGAGTAATACCACTCACCTCTAACTGAGCACACACTTCCTGCCAGGCATTGAGCACCCAGAGACGCTTGACATGCATTATTTCATCGAACCCCCTCAGCAACCCCAAAAAGGGGATAATGTTATCTCCATGTTCCAGATGACAGAGCTGCGCAGTTCAGTAACTTGCTTAAGGTTGCATCGTAGGGGAAGAGCAGGGCTCAGCTTTGAGCCCAGATCTATCTGTGGAGAGAAAACCAGACTGGAAGCCCAGAGGCCTGGAGTCTAGACCTGCTCCCCAGGTCCGGGGGACAGAACCTGGGTTCCTGCTAGTGAGAAGCAGGAGCGGGGTAAATAGCATTCCTAAAACTTCAGAAGAGGGGTTCTGGGCATGCTCTTTGGTCGTGCCCCTTTGTCAACCCACACACGGGGTGATCACATTGTTACCCTACCCAAAACTCTCAAGTTCCTGCACTTCCCACAACTTGCAAGAACTCAACCCTTAAGAATGGCTTCTGATGGTTGACCAACATGTACCATACACCAGCCAAACACTCAGTGGTCTTCGATGCCTGCGTCGTGCATTTGAACCCATTGTTCCCTCTGCCCAGCACCCCGTCGTTGTCTTATCTACCTGGCAAAGGCCTATTCACACTTCCAGATACAGCTCAAAGATCACCGTCTTTAAGAAGACTTTCTCTGTCCCATCCTCCGACCCCCAAGAAGCAGCTAGTTGCTCCACTCAACACTCTGTACATTCATTTATTCCTTCAACAAATATTCACTGAGCACCTCTTGTGTGCTAGGTAAATGAAGATGAGCAAGACCCACTCCCAGCCTTGGAGCACTGACAGAATGAGGTGGGTTTCTTGGCAATTTTGTCACACTCCTATGAGACACAGAACTCTCTGTGGGACTTGACTTCCCCTGGTACATCACTGCTCCTTACACCTTGCCTTTTAAGAACTGACTTCTTCAGCCTCCATCAGGCCTTGTCCCACCGCAGACGGGGAGCTTCCCAAGATTCTATACCATCAGTGCCTTGCTTATGAATGAGCTCAGTAAATGTGCATTGTTCAAAGAATGAGTGCACTCTCGTGCCCAAATCTGTACCCTCTGCTCAAATAGCACTCAAGTGCTGTACTCTAATGCTCTCCCTGACTCACCCCTCCCACCTCTACCAAAACTCCCATGCAAATGTGCCCTGAGGGTTCTTCTCCCTGAGGCTAAGCCAGACTGTGATAGATGATATCTGTATCATTCTGGCAATATACTCACAGACCCTAATCAAATGGAGAGCTCATGAAATGGGTC